TATATATATATATATAGTGAAAAAAAAATTCTAAGTGTATATTGTGTATATGGTATATATAGTATAGGGATATAAAACTTTCGATAATTGCATGTCAGTTGGGGTTTGTATTAAGTGTGTTTTCTGTGTTTAGTGTTAAGTCCTACATCAGTGTCGATAGTGTTAGTATACATGTTTAGTTTTTATCTGGCTCTTCGTCGCTGCTGCACTGACTCAGATCGCTGACACTGTTGCCTCGTCGCGGCACCATGGCCAATGGGGGCAGAGTCGGCTCGTCGTCTGAATCTGTATCGTTGGCAACGAATACATAGACSCCAAGTTCCTCATCCAAGAACACGGGAACACGGTTGGGTGGCTGTCCAGCACAGAGCCGCTGTACGCCCGGCGCCGGACGATTCTGGGCCCGAACGCGGGCATGATACTCACGCCAGGTGGTCGGCGGTCGATTTCGCGTCAGATCAATCGATGCCGGCACCGGTCGTAGATCCAAGCCCGAATCGTTCGCCTGCTCAGTCGCTGTCGTCTCAGCCTCATCCGGAGTGTTGGCATCACCACCGGCCACTTGGGCCGGCAGTTCGTAATTCGGATTGAAGAATCTAACGTCATGTACGGGCGGAGGTTCTTCGAAGAGGTATTCCAATTCGGAGTCAGAGGTACACTCCGAATCCACGCCATGCGGGTTGTCCGTCATTTCCGAAGGACCCGGAGAGCAGGCCATTTCCCAATGGGATGGGCTCGTTTCATTCACGTTATCAGGGTCGTGCTCATTATTGCAGATTACGGGTGAATTGTAGTTACGCCCACCTTCCGCTTCTGGGTAGGATGCATATAGCAACTGGTCATCGAATTCAATATCAATATCGTCGTTCCAGCGCCGCGAGTAATCCGGAGCATTTAAGTTGTTATTGGAGTCAGACATTCTTATTCTCTAATTGTATCGAATTGTACACAATATTTATTTTTGTATTCAAGAAAAAAATAAATTCTCAAATTTTCTCACGTGACTAGTAGATTTTTGTTAGACTTTGAATTGTGTTGCTTTTAAGGAAACCTGGTTGTTCTCCCAAGCGCCGAGTTGTAATTACTAAAGAAAAGCTTACTTGGTTTACTCAAAGCACACACACACACAACGGTTTTGAATAGAGTGGCAAGGCTTGCTTTGAATAATTTAGAATTAAAATAATTCCAATATCGAAATGGGTAGTGAACGACACAGTGTGTTGAAGGGAAGAAAACACTGACTTGTCTAAATAAATATAAAACGCGTAAAAAAGACTGCAATATATGTATGTAAATAACATATTATATCGATAGGTAATAATCATATTTCAAAAGCCAAATGTGAATGGCTCTACAGATCGTTGCATATCGATTACATTTAACATTTATCGCCTGATTGAATTCTGGTTCAGTTCCAGTTCCAGTTTCAGTTCCGTTTGATTCCCTAATCTTCCTTCATTTGGCCATTCGATGTGGACTTGCAATCGTAAAGTGATGAAAGTTCTGTTGGCTGCAGCATCTTTTATTTGTCAGTGAAAAGGACATGCTTCCTGCTGTTTCCGTTCTGTTCTCTGCTTCACTCTGCGCTGTCAGACGACCATTAGGTCCTTCGTTGGCTGTTGAGTGTCACTTGCAATTTATGTTTGCCCTAAGTGAAAAATGCACAAATGAAAAATCAAATATTCAGAACAGGATTAGAGCTCAACCCAGTGCAAGCGAACGTCCCTGACGGATGCCTTCCTCTGCGTCGCAATCTCTCTTCATCTCCCTCTTTCGATCTGTCTATCTATCTATATCAATAACAAAGCGATTTATGCGGCAAGTCAGTAACGAAATTAGAGTTTCCTTTTCGCAGCAGCTCAACAAATTGTTCGCCGCTTTTAAGCTCATTAATTTTTAATGAATTTTGGCTAAATAACAAACAGCTGCCCCCAGTTGACAGGATAGATGTGCCAGCATAAAAGCACCGCAAGTAAAATATATTTGCCATCTTAGGAGCCCAAAGTAGAAGATACTTTGCGCCCAAACGACCTCTGCCTGGTCAGCTTAAGCAGCCCTGATTAATGATTCGAAATTAGAATTACGCAATTTTAAGCAAACAATTTGTTTCAAAGTATTTTAAATACTTCTGCTCGAAAACTATTTAAGCGAACGGATAATACATGGGTTAATACTAAACAATTTGAGTAAATAAAGAGATGAAATGTGAGATGATAAGATGCAATTTCAATATGATAAAGAAGTAAAGTTTAAGATATATGACATATGATAAGAAACAATAAGGTGCATTAATGTATGACTATAATTAGGTATGTCTGGATATTCATTTATTCATATATACATACACATATGTCAATCTATCTGTATATTTTCTTTTATTTAAATGAGGTTTCTTTGTTTACTATTAAAACTTACAAATTGCATGTAAATTAAATAACTTAGTAGTTACTTTACCGGCATATCCATCCCGTCTATGCCACTTAACATATATTTCCTTCTCTTTTACTTCCCACATGTAGTAGTATAGTAAATGCCTTGCTTGTCGTGGCTCCCACAGTGCCCAGGCGCTACCTGTTTCCTGCACTCACGCGCGCCATCGCCATCTCTGTCTCGCCTCAGCTCCAATATCCATTACATACACATTTAGCAGCACATTAGTACAGAGGTCACAGCACATTTATCAAATTTTCGGGCAACTCACTCTTTCACTCTTTTTATCTCGTCTCGCAACGTGATTCTTACCTACTTTTGCCTGTCTGTTTACATAAGACTTAAGCGCCCGTTTTGGTTTGTGTTTTTTTTTCCGGGTTTTTCGGTTTTTCGTTTCGTATACGCAATTTCAATTTCTGGCTGGTATTTTTATATTTCTTATTTACTTTGCTTTTGGTTTCTGGCACCGCCCTGTGTGCTCGCTAGTCTATGTTATTGTCTACCGCAGTCGCCGCCGCGTGGCTCTGACAATTGGCAACCGTAAGGCAGGCAGCCAGCACATTTCTAGCCGCAATTCGGCCATACAACGCGGCGTATGAGTAACGAGTTATGTGCAATGCGACAAACCAAACAAAACAGCAAGAAGAGCACACTTACATGAGTGTGCGTGTGCATATATATGTGTGTGTCTGTGTATGTGTATTTCTGTTATCCTGGGTTTCGTCTTCATCTTTGTAGTCCCCCATTTAACCGCAAATTCGCATTTTGTCCCATTTCGTTTATTTGTTTACTTATTTAAATTGCTTAATTTGCATTAAATGACAAGCGACTGCTATTTACTCCGCTGCACAAATGAGATACGAAACTGTGGGATCTCTCTGGGAAACGGTTAACAAACACTTTGTGTAGACAAGGATTAAGTTACGTAAAAAATAGACACAAACGGCGAGGGTATGAACAAAAATGTGGATTACGGCCCAACAACTGAAAATAGAAACGTTTGCAAAATATCTAAGAAAAAACAGCAAATTCTACGCTTAAAATGAAAAATATTTACGGACTTGCTCAAATAAGTGCGCAATACAAAAATATAAATCAAATTAAAATATATATAAAGTGTTTCAGCCAAAATAAATACAATGCCAATCATAAACAAAAAAAACTATTTCCCAAAAATAAAAAGCTTGCGTAATAAATCAAAGAGAAATAAATGCTCGAAAAGTTGCATAAAAATGAACGAATATATCCACAATTAAACTGAACATAAAAGCTGCATGGCGTAATCCAATCAAAAACAATTTTGAATAAAATAAATTGTAAAAAATAAATAAATTCAAAATTAAAATGTTCTAAAATTTTTATCCTTTTCAATGCAGTAACCAATCCCAAGTTTATGCAATCGCAAATAGATCGAACAAAACACGCGTAAAAAATGTCTGGCCGAGATGTTTCAGTGACTGAAACAGCGCAGAGCGATCAGGTATGTATTCTATAAGGAAAACACAACTTGAAATTGTTTAAGAAAATCAAACAGAATTTAAAACACACTGAAAATCAAACAGTCCCAAAACATTTGCCTTTCACAACCGAAACAAAAGACTTTCGCATGATTTTTCCCACTTTGGTATTTATTATTAAGCAGCTCGACAATTCGATGTTTGCTCGCATGAAATTAGTTTAATTTTGAACTAAATATTATAGTATGAGCTTTGCCCTCCAGCCTGCTCTATACAGGCGATTTCATTTAACGATTGTCTCCCATTATTTATGAGCACATTTAAGGCTGTTTTATTTCTGAGTTTTACTGGCCTAAAACACCGAAATATTTATGCATTCTATTTTTGGGCGTGTGCCTGTTTTGTTGCTGTTGTTCATGTTGTTGTTGTTGTTGTTTTTTTCTTTTTTTTTTTTTATTAGCTGGCTTTAAGCTCTTGCACACGATTCACGCGTGAATGCGACAAAAATATAATTTATTATTCCGATTCTTTTGCATTCATAATTTGCTGTGCATGGGCGGCGCACTCCATTACACACTTTCTGCTGTCACCTGCATGKGCAGAATTTACGGGTCCGCTTTTATTTTTGCATTTTTGGGTAAACATTTTGCAGACTGTCACGAATTGCTTGCATTGTTGCTGCTTATCTAATTAAATTCTCTTGAAGTCTGACCCAAAAAACGTGCTTCAGCTGCCAAGAGAGCTCTCGGCGCATTGATCGAGCCCTAATCAAATAGCAACTCAGGCCGAGGGCTCGAGTGATAGCAAATTGTTTTGGTATTTACATATCGTTTGTGCCACATAGCAGTCAAGTGCCAAACTACTGGGAGAGTGCAACTCTTGCCTGCCTGCCTGCCCAGCTCATCCTCATGACTGTGAAAAGTGAAAGCAGTGCTCATTACGCCCAGACGACGCCGAAGAGAGCGCCGACCAGGGAGACAGGAGCTCGAAGACGAGGCATGCTGGGGCGCATGGCGCAGTTGTTGCGGGGCAGCAGAGAATTTCCTGGTGCGCTGCCAACTGGGCTAACGGTATTTGTGGGCCCTTTGTTGGTAGGCCCCAGCATTTGGCCCGTTATTTGATCATCATTAGCGATACGTATCGGTCCGAGGTCTCGAGCTTTGTGCAGCTCAGCGACTTTTAAAGGTCCGGACATGTTCTCTGCCTGACTGCCATATAGATATTTGTGTGTATGTGTGCTTGCCAGTGTGTGAGTGGGTGACACTGTGGCACTGCTGACTTCGCCTCTCGAAGTCCTTTCTGCGGTTGCTGCTACTTTGCTCTGGCTGGCTGCAACACAAAGTTGCAACAAAAGTTTTGTCGCTCTTTTGTGCGATGCTTGACTTCATTGGCTCTTTGATTAAGCCGAGAGCGATTCACGAGCCAACCGACTGGCCTGGACGGCAGTCAGCGGGGAGCCATAGCCAAGCCAAGCCAAGCGAGCCAGCTAAACAATCCTCCAGCCACTGTGTAATTAAATAATTGCGGTGAGCTCGCCACCAAATCGAGCTAATGCATTTGGCTCAAATCTCACTTGGCTTTTGGTTATGACTTGCTCTGCCTCACTTTCGTTTGCCTTTCCTTTATTTGGTTATGTGGAAATTGCATTTCGTAACTTCGTTTTGTGTACTCTTGCTGCAGGCCATTTAAGAATATCGTCGGAATATTCAGTTGCAAAAGAGTCTCTGTCGTAACGGTTAAATAACGCCTGAGGCGGACTATTGATCGCTGGTCTTTTGCAATGACAGTTATCTATGAGTACTAGTCACTATGACAATTCAATTTAGTATATAATTATTTTACATATATCTACTGTAGCTATACTAGAGGATAATTGAGACTAAATAATATATTGCATTTATTAGTTTAATTAATATTAATATTTAGCAACAATAATATCTTTTGTTTCTCTTCTTTAAAGAAAAAAGTTTTTATTATTTAATTTTAATTCATTAAAAATTGGAACCTATATGACCTCAAAGTATTGCCTATATATACAATGATTTATACATACATATGCATATATACAAACACTTATTCTTAATCAGTCAGATTTCGTTTTCAACTTTTTCGTCTGCCCATCCAATTCATATAAATGAAACTGGAAAAATACAATACTTGAAAACTCATATATAATCTAGAGACATATTTTTCGATATAAAATCAAATTTACAAACTTGTTTTGGTATTTTTATTTTCCCATATATGCCAATTCAGATACTGAAATGTTTCTGTTCAATAAGTTAAGTCCTAAGTTTTCATTTTCATTTGATCTGATAATATAATACTAGATAGATAGATCGTAAATAGATCGTTTTTACAATCAAATATTTATTATTAAAACCATTGGATGAAATATAAATTATGAGTCGCTTTGTTACTATGAATATTATATCATATATTCCTTATATTATATGCTAATAATTAATTAAATTTTATACCAATAATGAAGTTGGTATAAAAAAATTAAAAACATTTTCGTAAATTATATAATTTTTAATTATTTTATTTTTGATGTTAAAAAAAAGCAAGAAA